GGTGTCACTCTCTCTCACTTCCATGGTCTTGCCTACTCCAGCAGCTCAATCAACACTGCCCACTGTGCTTCTGAGACTTGTATGGCTCAATTTTCTTCTCGGTCTGTTCTTTAATATTCTAGATTAGTAAAATAAAATCTGGCCATTCTAAGCTAAACCACCAGGAGGTAACTGGACTGGGTGTCTAGTTGATGTATAATAAGTTGGCCAAAAAAAGAGAGAAAAGACTTCCTAAATATTTCGATGTGTCTGACGTGTTCTTTAATGTGGATTATAGAAGAGTGGGATTTCTCCTTTATAAATATAACAGTTTTGGTTCTCATTATCACTATTAGGCTTTAGAGACTGTGGTTACGGCTTTTTATCTATGGAAGGGGACTTTACCTTTCTAATTGTTATGTGACTTCTTTGGTAAATCCCCTGTGACCTTGCAGATGGGATGAATCAAATTTAGTAAACTTTAACATTTACTTATATATAAGACATCTTGGGCTGTTATCTGTTTAACTAATGTGTTTACTTCGCAAAATATTAAAGTACTGTTTTTTCATATAAGAGTTGTGCTCATAAGCTTGCATACCCTTGGAGAATTGGTAACATGTACCATTTTTGAAGAAAACATGAATGAGCAAGCAAAACACATTTAAAAAAAAGTTCTTATGGGATTCATATTCAACTGTAGGTTATAACAGAATGGCACAATCATAAAACAAAACAAGGCATAAAAGAAAAAAAATTAAATGAACCTTGTTCAAAAGTCTGCACACCCATAGTTTTTAATACTGTGTATTGCCCCCTTTAGCATCAATGACAGCGTGCAGTCTCTTGTTATAGTTGTCTATAAAGCCCCTAATTCTTGCAGGTGGTATAGCTGCCCATTCGTCTTGGCAAAATGCCTCCAGGTCATGCAAAGTCTTTGGTCGTCTTGCATGAACCACACGTTTGAGATCTCCCCAGAGTGCCTCGACGATATTAAAGTCAGGAGACTGTGATGGCCACTCCAGTACCTTCACCTTTTACTGCTATAACCACTGGAGGGTCAACTTGGCCTTGTGCTTAGTGTCATTGTCATGCTGGAAAGTCCAAGAGTGTCCCATGTGCGGTCTTCGTGCAGAAGAATGTAAATTGTCTGCCAGTATTTTCCGATAACATGCTGCATTCATCTTGCCATCTATCTTCACAAGATTCCCCGTGCCTTTAGAGCTCACCCCCACCCCACCAAAAAAACATCAGTGAGCCACCACCATGCTTCACAGTTGGTATTCTTTTCTCAATAGGCCATGTTGACCTCTCTCCAAACATAGCGTTTACGATTGTGACCATAAAGCTCTATTTTGGTCTCGTCACTCTGAATTACAATGTGCCAGAAGCTGTGAGGTGTTTCAAGGTGTCGTCAGGCATATTGTAACTGGGCTTTGTGGCATTAATGCAGTAAAGGCTTCTTTCTGGCAACTCAACCATTCAGCTCATTTTTGTTCAAGTATCGTTGTATTGTGCTCCTTGAAACAACCACACCGTCTTTTTCCAGAGCAGCCTGTATTTCTACCTGTGGGTTTTTCTTTGTATCCCGAACAATTCTTCTGGCAGTTGTGGCTGAAATCTTTCTTGGCCTGCCTGACCTTGCCTTAGTATCTAGAGATCCCCACAATTTTCACTTCTTAATAAGTACTGAATGGCATTTTCAAGGCTTTGGATATCTTTTTATATCCTTTTCCATCTTCATAAAGCTCCCTTCCCTTGTTTCGCAGGTCTTTTGACAGTTCTTTTCTGCTCCCCATGGCTCAGTATCTAGCCTGCTCAAGTGCATCCACGTGAGAGTTAACAAACTCATTGGTTATTTAAACAGACACTAATTGCAACTTAAAAACAATTAACCTTTAATTGCCATTTTAACCTGTGTTTGTCACCTTGTGTGGCTGTACCAATTCCAAACATTCAAGGGTATGTAAATTTTTGATCAGGGCCATTTTGGTGATTTCTGTTATCATTAAAAAGGAGCCAAACAACTATGTGAAAATAAATGGCTTCATATGATCATTATCCTTCAATAAAATACAGTGCATGATCAGTCATGTTTTCTGCCAGGGTATGCACACTTTTGAGCACAACTGTATATATTGTCACAGAAGCTCCTGTGCCACAGCCTGCTGGAGAGTCATAACAGCTAGCCTCCTGCCCACAGGACTAGGGGCCTGGTCACAGACTTTAAAATGATATATATAGGATGTAGGGATATGTTGTGTAATTGTCAAGTTGCTTTGTAGATTTTTTTCTCTAGCCAAAAATCATAAGAGTAAAATGATGACGCATAGTATATGCAAAACTGGGACGTTTCTAAAAAGCGTTTTCCAGAGATTCAAAATTTCAAGTTTCATTTGTTCTCATATAAGTACATGTGTATATTAACAATTTACTGGTTAAAGCAGATACAGGCCATATAGAGTTTAAAGCACAATAATCTTTGCCCTTCTTGTGGCAAGGGACTTTTCCTTCTTGGTTACACCAACCCTTTTTTGACAGTTTAGGTTTTTTGGCTTACAATGCCCAATTGGGCATTGCTAATAGGTTCCCCCCTTAAAATGTTTAACAAAAAGGGACAACTTACCTGTAATTCAGCACAAGGAAGAACTCTCGACATCAATCTTCCTCCTCCATCTGATGTCAGCAAGTGGCTCACGCAGTCCAATCAATGGCTTCTCAAAGAAACCTGAATTTAGTGAATATCCCTGTTAATAATTATTTGTTTTTCTCTTGTAGCTTAGTGATTGCATAGTTGTGATATTAAGAATTTCCAATAGATACTTGTGTCCTTCCACTTTTATGGGGACTACACCATGTAGGTATTCTAATCACTCACAGTAAGGGATTCAAGGGAATATAGAAAATACAATCTACAAAGAAGAATAGACAAAGTATATAGTGCAATAAATTAAAACACCAAAAAGTTTTATTTATTTACTTGTACCTTTGGGGGAGCACGTGTGTTATATTTTAACATATATTTTCTGTTATTCAAGGGAATATAGCTTCCCTTTCTGTTGTTTGCAATGGAGAACTGGGGAAGGATTTAGACTCTTTACATAACTTGCATTCTGGTTCACGATTCACACATCAAAATTTAATATAGAATCAATTGTATCTATGTATCTGTCTATCTATCTATCTTTTGACACCATCAATATCCATGATAAGATAAACATGACATTTAAGCTGAGTTTTGCAGATCAAGCAAGTTCAAAATGTGATTTTGGCATTAATGGAATTTAAAAATACTACTTATATAGCACCCGTATGGTGGCAGAAATCAGTTACACAAAAGGCTTCCACTAAAACATAGTCACCACAGTGTCCTAGATTTGTATGGCATTAGAAATATAAACTTTTAAGGCACCTAAACCATCCCTGGGGATGCATCAAGATATGATGACCTATATTCAAACCAAGAAGAAGCCATGGTGCCATGACAAATTTCAAAAATATTGAAATCTCCCTGAATCTCCCTCCCTGAACTTTGACAGTCCATTTGTTCGGCATCAAGATCTCACTACATGAAGGATCCTGGACTGATTGTTTAGGAGTCCTCATTTGACTGCTAGATAACCAACTAAAATGATCTGTCTTGAGCACTGTTGCCCAAAGAAGTCCTCGTGGTGCACCCAAATCTAATCCTGTGCGCTTAGTGATAAAATCTATATCATTGGTGAGCCCTGAGGATTGGTTTTGAAAGCCCTGCTCTAGAGTTTAGATAGATTCCCCCCAAAAAAGTGATACATAAATTTGATAATGCATTTATTTAAATTTGCTGTTTATTTTCCAGATACAGTTGTGCTCAAAAGATTGCATACCCTGGCAAAAATTGTGAAATTTTGTAATTGATTTTGAAAATACGACTGATCATGCAAAACAATGTCTTTTATTGAAGGATACTGATCATATGAAACCATTTATTATTACATAGTTGTTAGGCTCTTTTTAAATCATAATGATAACAGAAATCACCCAAATGGCCCTGCTCAAAAGTTTACATACCCTTGAATGTTTGGCCTTCTTACAGACACACACAGGTTACAGTGGCAATAAAGGTTAACCCCTTAAGGACACAGCTTCAAAAACTGGACTTACCCTTAAGGACACAAGCCATTTTTGCATTTTTTGCCATTTGTGTTCAAACGCAATTTGCATCTCTGTCATTTATTTCACCAACACATATTACATACTGTTTTTTGGAGGGCAAAAAGGGCTTCACTTCGATGTGACATATACATAGATAAATTCTCATTAATTATAAAACAAATGCCAAAAAATGGGAAAAAGACAAACAAACCATTTTTTTTCACAGTTTTGGCAATAATAGCATGTGCATAATATGTCCAGCTTAAAAAAAGTAATTCAAAATAAATTCATTTATGTGTTTTGATTTATAGAGTACATAATATATTTAGGATTTCAGCTTATTTTGTAAGTTACAGGTCACAAAATAAAAGGACTAAAATACAATTTCAATGTGAAACAATTTTAGAAGTTGGTATGTTTGTCTTGTAGGTTTAGTAGCCATCACAGAAAACACAATTGCCACACAAAAGTATATATTTATATAAAGTAGACATCACAGGCTATTTACCTAAGGTTATTTTGACACTTTTTACATAGACATTTTATCGCCAATTTCTGCTAAATATTGGAGTAAAATTTAGTTTTTTCTGGATTTATATTTTTGGATATACACATATAACAAGGTTTTTGTAACGTATTTCATAAAGCTGGTGTGTGTTATTCCTGCACAGAACCATATTGTGTTCAACTATATCTGCCGAGCTTAACGATACCCCCATTGTATCATAGGCGTGCGCAGCCTATTGCATTATGGTGTGCACCCTAAAGCACAAACACATGCCGCATATATATATTTATATATATATATATATATATACACACACATACATATACTGCTGTTTGTGTGTGTGTGTGTGCTGTTAGTGCGCTGTGTGAGGGTGCTGTGTGTGTAAGGGTGCTGTGTGGGTGTTGAAGGGTGCTGTGTGGGTGTGTGAGGGTGCTGTTAGTGTGCTATGTGGGTGAGGGTGCTGGTAGTGTGCTGTGTGTGAGGGTGCTGTTTGTGTGATATGTGTGTGTGAGGGTGCTGTTTGTGTCGTGTATTTGTGAGGGTGCTGTTAGTGTGCTGTGTGAGAGTGTGCTGTTTGTGTGAGGGTGCTGTGTGTGTTTGTGAGGGTGCTGTTAATGTGCTGTGTGTGAGGGTGTTGAGTGTTTGTAAGGGTGTTGTGTGTGTGTGTGTGAGGATGCTGTGTGTGTGGGTGCTGTATGTGTGAGGGTGCTGTTTGTGTGCTGTGTATGTGAGGGTGCTGTGTGTGTGCGCTGTTTGTTTTAACGTGCTGTATGTGTGTAGGTGCTGTGTGTGTGTGGGTGCTGTATGTGTGTGTGTGCTGTATGTTTGGAGGGATTGTGAAGGTGGGGGCAGATTAGTAAATAACCCCCTCCTTTCTTACCTTATGTAGGGAGGGGGGATCCTTGCTGTCCAAGGGAGAGTGAACTCTAGCCTGGCTCCTGCCATCATCAGACAGCCTGCGCGGCGAGAGGAAGCAGAGAGCACACAGCTCCCTCGCCGCTTGTTGTGTGGAGATAGGCGCCCGACGGGGGGGGATTTTCATGGAGGGTTTTGATGTATCCTTGTCCCACTTTGGAGCACTTGAGCAAGCTACATATTCCAGCTACACCATAAAGCATACAATTTCTTAAAGAGGACATCCCAGGGTATTTCAAAAGGCATATTTTGAACCTTAGCGTAGGATCATTTTTCAGCTAGCTTGTGCAAATTGTAGTGGTAATTTTTTCTGCCTTTTTGACACACAAAGTGAGTTTGCACAGTATATTTTGCAAAACCTTATGCGTGCTATGACTGTGTAATACTTCATGTAATGGTCAGCTATGTCATCTGTGTACAACAATACCCGTATGTACCTTTGCCAGGTGTATGTGCATGTTGGAGGGGCACATTTGAGACGCAGCCATTCAGTTTTTTTCTAACTGTGAAGTTTTACGCTTTGTCCATGTTTCGTTTCGGAGTAGTTTAGCTGGTTGGTTATTCAAACTTCCCCACAAACACATACTATTTATTAAAGAAAACACCCCAGAATAATTCAAAAGGCATATTTTGAATCTGAGCGTGGGATAATTATTTTGCTAGTTTTTTTCAGGTGTAGCGGTAATAAGAATTTTTTAATGCATATTTTTTTTCTACTTTTTAAAACTTTTTTTTACTTTTTAAAACTTTCTTGAAACGTTTTTACACTTTTTACATTTTATCAACTTTTATTTTACCATTAACACTAACTAGCAGTAAGCAGCACTAACAGCAAATTCCCCAATTTTCCATAACTCCCACCCACCCCAGCTAGCAAAAGATATCATTTTCAAATATTTAAATGAACTAATGAAATAAATTGAGCCCCTGAGGGTTAAAAAAAAAAAAGTTAACCCTCACGGGTTAAAAAGAAAAATCAGAGCACAGTATAATACTGTGATCTGTATTTTGATCACTATAAGCAGTGATCAACTGGCAGAGAAGGGGTTGATCTTTATTAGGACTGGGTAAGGGGGGGTAGGATTTCTTTTTTTAAAAAACATTATTGAAAACCTCTTTTAATATTAACCCATAGCTAGCCTAACACCAAATTCCCCAATTCCCCACTAACTTCCACCCACCCCAGGCTAGCTTAATATATCATTTTAAAATATTAAAATTAATTAATAAAATAAATGTAACCCCTGAGGGTTAAAAAAAATAAAATAACCCTCAGGGATTAAAAAAAACTGACCACAGTAAAATGTAGTCCCTGCCAATTGATCACTGTAGTCAGTGATCAATTGGCAGGGAATGGGTTAATTTTATTAAAGCAGGGGAAAGGGGGGTGGGGTTGAACTTTTACTTTATATTTTTACATAGGCAGAAGTTCAGCAGCACTGATCCGTCACCCTACACTTCACACTGACCGTGGAAGCACAGGGAGGAGAATCATAAGCGCGATTGGATGTTCCCCGTCTGCCTCGAATACCAAGGCAGACCGGAAGAGTGTTAACCCCGCGATCACCGCGATTGCGGTGACCTGGGGTTAATTTTAGCGCATGATGGACCGTGTCCGTCATCCGGCATTAAGTGCTTCCCCAGCATGACGGACCCGGTCCCTCATCCGGCGTTAAGGGTTTCATTTCCAACATCTGTGGCTTTTTAAATTGCAATTAGTGTCTGTGTATAAATAGTCACTGAATTTGCTAGCTCTCATGTGGATGCACTTGAGCAGGCTAGATACTGAGCCATGTGGAGCAGAAAAGAACTGTCAAAAGACCTGCGACACAAGGGAAGGGAGCTTTACGAAGATGGAAAAGGATATAAAAAGATATCCAAAGCCTTGAAAATGCCAGTCAGTACTTATTAAGAAGTGAAAAATTCAGGGATCTCTTGATACCAAGGCAAGGTCAGGTAGACCAAGAAAGATTTCAGCCACAACTGCCAGAAGAATTGTTTGGGATACAAAGAAAAACCCACAGGTAACCTGAAGAAAAATACAGGCTGCTCTGGAAAAAGACGGTGTGGTTTTTTCAAGGAGCAAAATATGACTATACTAGAACAAAAAATGAGCTGCATGGTCGAGTTGCCAGAAAGAAGCCTTTACTGCGCTAATGCCACAAAAAAGCCCACTTACAATATGCCTGATAACACTTTGACACACCTCACAGCTTCTGTGTAATTTGGAGGGACGAGACCAAAATAGAGCTTTATGGTCACAACCATAAGATCTATGAAAAGAAAGCATTCCCACTGTGAAGGATGCAGTCCAACCACTGGGACCACCAGGGATTCCCCACGAACCACCAGGGATCAAGAAATGTCCACCCTCCTCCCTCAGTAAAGGTAAGAAGGGAAGGGGGACATTAATATATTTATTTTTATTAAAAAAACAAAAAAAAACATTATCTAAAAAAAGCCTTCCTACCCTCCTTCCCCTCATACACACACTGCCCCACACTGTCCACACACACATACACTGCCACCCATAGACACATTGCCCCACACACACTGCTGCCCCCTATAAACACATTGCCCCACACACTGCAGCCCCCCCATCTACACACTGCCCCACACACACAACCCCCCATACACACACTGCCCCACACATACATACAGTGCCCCCTATACACACACTGCCGTCCCACACATACATACAGTGCCCCCCATACAACACTGCCCCACACACACCATGCCCTCTTTAGCCACACACACTGCCCCCCATAGACACATTGCCACAAACACACACATTGCCTCCCATACTCATGTCCAAATAGCCATTTTTGTGCCTAAATCGCTGACCAGTGTCATAGTTGTCTCAAAATTACTATTCACGGACATTTCATTTTCAAAACAACTTAAAAATGCAATCTTGTCAGCTGGTAGTGTTTTTGTATGAACTGGGTGTAAGCTGGGTGTATTTTGCAGAGAGTCAATGTATTTGTAATACAGAAATGTATTTACAGATGTTTGTGAATTCAAATGAATATTTGTGTATAATATTAATGTGTGCAGATGCAGTTATTGAATATTTGTATGTATTCGTTAATGCAGGAATCTATTTGTAAGACACGTGTGTGTGTGTGTGTTTGTTTGTATGTATGAGTGTCCTTCACTGGACGTTACTGTATGTGTGTGCATGCATTGTTGTTTTCAGCAGTATGTTTGTTTATTTTTCTGAATGTCCCTGTGTGACTTATCTCACCATTCTCTTCCACTTCTGGCTCTATCCCATCCTCAGGGGCGTTGCTCTGTGGACTAGGGACTTGCCCCAAAAATACATTTGCTAACCCCTCCTATAGTTGACATTAAGCTTGACCAATAAAACATCTCAGCTGCACCATAAAAAAAAAATAAAAAAATGAAATGCTGCCCTACCTCCTCCTCACCAAAAGCATGCAAACCAAAACACGACCACATCCATTATGCTATGTAGTGAATAGTGTCAGAGTGTGTGCTAGGGATGCAATGTGTGTCTGCGTCTGTGCAGGGAATGCAGTGTGCCTCTGTGTGTGTGTGCAGGAAATGCAGGGTGTGTCTGTGTGCTGGGCATGTGGTGTGTGTCTCTCTGTGTGTGTGCACGGGATGCAGTGTGTTTTACATTTTTAAAATGTAAAAAACACCCACAATTTTTTTTTTTATGTTTTCAAGAATATTCATTCCGCAAATATGTACACTGTATGTTAAAAATAGTGGAGAGGGTTTTCTCCAAATTGTTGGCCCCTATTCATAACAAAGCTCTGTGATGCCTATCTCAAGCTGTGTCTTCTCACCTTAACTACTGTTGCTGGCTGGCTACTGTGACTGGCAGGTTGCTTTGGCCGGTTGGCTGCTGTAGCCAGCTGGCAGGCTGCTGTGGCTGGTTGGCAGGCAGGCTGGCTGCTGTGGCTCGCCGGCTGGCTGCTGCTGGCAATTGGCCTCTTTTTTCCACCAACAGGCATCTATTTCTACTACCAATCCCTTTGTGTGTCTTTTTTTCCCTCCCTTCTGTGTGTCTCACCCCCAAGCCTTTCTGTGAGTCTGTTCATCCCCGCAGCCCCTCTGTGTGCCTCTTTGTCTGTCCAAGTGCCTTTGTGTGTCTCTTTCTCCCCAGCCAATTTGTGCATCTGTTTGTCCCCCAACTCTTTTGTCTGTCCTCTTTTCCCCCTTCCCCAGCCCCTGTGTCTTTGTCCCACCAGCCCTTCTGTGTGTCTATGTACCCCCAGCCCCTTTGTGTGTGTCCTCTTTAGCCCCTATCCCCTCCTGTCTGCTCATGTTGCCCCCTTCTGTGCCATCTTTAGCCCCCTCCCCTTCTGTGCCCTCTTTAGCCGATTTCCCCTCCTGTGCTCTCTTTATTAGCCCCCTCCCCTTCTGTGCCCTCTTTAGCCCCTAGCCTCCTGTGCCCTCTTTATTAGCCCCCTCCCCTGCCTGTGCCCTCTTTAGCCCCTCCCTACAGTGCCCTCTTTTACCCTTCACCATGCCCTTTTTAGCCACCAACCCTCCTGTGCCCTCTTTATTAGCCCCATTATTTGAATGGAGTCACTACAAGATAATTGGTTCCCTTGTGTTCGGCTATCTGTTACCTTCTGTTTGATTACCGAACAGACTCTGTGGTCCCCCTTGTTAACACCTAGTAATCCCCGACCACCCCTGGCTGTTAACCACAAATGAGCAATCACCTCAAGTGCTTCCCTGGGTGGCCGCCATTCACATTTACGAACACACCTGCTATCAGGACTGTCGGCCATCTTGTCTCCCGAATGCAGGCAGCAGTACATGGTCGTCGACTGCATGGATCTCTGGTCGGCTACGGGAGTAAGGAACTACTGAACAAGGGAAGCAATAATTTCTTAAAAGCCAGGGGGAGCTTTCGTTGGTGTATGCACAGGAACCCCCGAAAGTCGACTGGTCAAAACTTTGTTCAAACATAACTCTCGTTTTACCGAACCGATCTGAGCGCTTTTTGGATATGCTGTGCGCTCAGATCGGGTCTATTACGGAATATGTATATTTTTGTGGGGTACCTGTACTGTTTTCATGTATTTTTGTGATATGTTAAAATTATATCTAAGTTTTCTTATTTTAGCGATACTTGCGTTATCTTAATTGGAGCCCAATTATCTCTCAAACACAAAGATTTGTAGGAAGGAAACCCCTGTGATTTTGTCTTGTAAACCCCATGCTAGGGGAAAATGCGTAAAAAGACGAGTGTGGCCTAATAAAGCTCATATTGATTTTCTACCCAATACGACTGGTTGCGTCCATTATTTTGGGAAAACTCTACACAGCAATATCACCATATGCAGTACATCTGGAACCAGGACTAGTGGAGGATCAAAGGAATAATGACAATAGAACCTGTGACAGCTAGCAGTTTGACTTCTTCCCTGGGGTTCCCTGAGCACCATAACCACTACATTCAGGTGTGCGTTGGCTCTCCCCCAATGCAAGTAGATATACCATTTTCTAATGGACGGGGTCTGACTCCCTGTCTTCTCACAACTGGTAAATAAGGGCTGTCTATCATGACCGATGGGCTAAGCCCTGCAGTGCCAACGAAAGCAACTAGCAGGACCTCCTGACTTTCAGGTACAGCTGCGAGATGGCAGGGAGCACTGCCTTATTAGCAAATGGTTTGACTACTTACATGGTGGTGGAGGGGTGCTAAGGCACTACAGACACCATAATCGTTTTATAATGATTGAAAATAAAATATTACTTGTAATATAGCCTCATTGTGCATTATTTTGTAATTAATATATGTAAGTTTACAACTTTTTAGTGCATCATCTGATTTACTATTGCTCTGACAGGATAGCCACTTTGGCCAGTACTTCCATGTTATAGTTGATCCCAGAGTACATTTTCATATGCCTTACATCTGTGCCTCAGGTCAGAATTCATAATTTCACACTAGATTATAGATGGGTTCATGGATTTATGATTTATAATGCAATATTTAGCAAAACAGGCAATTTTGGTATTGGTGCCTACACAGATATGTAACAATCATGAAGGCCTTACACTAGCAACAAACTGACATAGAATGGTGTCCAATGGGTCCTCGGGAGTGATCTACCAAATTAATACCAAGTAAAAAGCAGTTTGCATTTTCTACCAATAAAGAACATGTTTTTGGATTCTCTGCAAGTTTAGTGAATAACCTGCTTGATTCCTCGGTACTGATGAGGATGCAACACAATTTGAGTCCACTATCTCAGACACATAACCTTCTATGTGACCTTCTTAACATGGCAGATGTGACAGAAGAATCATTACTCAAATAATGGATTATCAGCTTCTATCTGTCATCAGAAAATTAGTTGGCATCCTACTTTAACCTTCCCATCTGTTCTGTAAATGGACATTGGATGTTGGGTAATTCTGCAAATTGCTCCTGAATTCTGGAGAGAGGGTGTAAAAAAAAGAAATAAAACTGACACAAATATACAACACTTAAACTTGTTATAATGTACCTGGTGATCTGTGACTGTACGAATAACATCCCTTTATACTAATGTCATTTTCCCAAGTGCCACCTGAAACCTTTACGAAGATGTTAAGAGTAGAAGATATAGTATGGGACAATATCAATCATAGAGAATGCTTATACGACATACTGCTTTTATGTTACAAATGATAGTGGGAGTTGTTAAAGGATATTAGTAGTGCTTGGGAGTTGGGACCTACTGCTGTTAAAGGGTGTTGGGGCTGGGCCAGTGTTAGTGGATACTTGGGTTCTGAGGCCCATAGTAGTTTTTATAGACTGCTGACATTTAGAGAACAGAGGAACAAATACAACTTTATTACATTTATAAAGGTTTGTAGCCATAACACTTCTAAATAAAGCCATGGCCATATCCAGCACTGTAATATATTATACCTAGAGAGAAAGCTGGGTCCATATAACATAACTTTTAGAAAAAGGCAGGACCATGTTACATTTCTCATGGCGTTATTACACTGTCCTTACAGGTATGACAGTATTACATTGGTCTTAGCAAAAGCCAGGGCCATATTTCATTACTATTATAGAAATCTAGAGCCATATTACTTTATTTTTATAGAAATCCAGGGGCATATTGTATTACGTTTATAGAAATCTAGGGCCATATTGTATTACCCTTATAGAAATCTAGGGTCATATTGTATTACCCTTATAGAAAGCCTGGGCAATATTGTATTACCCTTATAGAAAGCCTGGACAATATTACTTTATTCTTAGAGAAATAGATGACCTTTAACAAAAACTAGGGTCAACTGCATTCATTTTAGAGTAAGCCAGGGCAGAAGACATTAACGGTGCCCTTACAGTTCTGGCACATGGGTAAATGCTAGGAGAACCACAAGGGTGTTCTTAAAGTGAAATGTATCTGATATGGGCACAAACCACCACACTCCCTCTTTGAAGTGAGGGAAGTCAGGGACATGCAGTAGCAATCTTTTGACCTCCCTACTGGTCGAAGAGGGCCGTTTAGAGCCGGCGCTCCAGGACCAAGCAGGGGCCCGACAGGCCCTATGCAGTCAGTTTTGTCGGTTAGCATGTAGTTTTCAGACATAGTGAATTACATTAAAGGAACACTAATTTGCGTTCTCAGGCATCATAACCACTATATTGCATTCTCAGTCAGTGAATTCCATCAACACACAGGCAGGATTGATCTCTTGAATGTAGAAATAGGAAATCCTGCTTTAGCAATATCTGACTGTGGGTGCCTGGAAGATCCAAAAAGGTGTCAAACCTTTCCAAACTGGTTAGATTTTTGCACAAGGGATGACAAAAGAAGACTCCTGGCACTATAATCACTACACTGCACTATAGTGGTTACAGTGGTTAGAGTGCACATTAAAGTGCAAAAATCAACAGTCTGCAGCATTTATAAGTGTTTTTGTAGAATAAGCCTTTCTCCTGTCAAATGCTTTTTGAATTTGAATGTTGAGCTATAAGGCAAGTACAGAAAGTAAAAAGTTCGGTAGAATTTAAAAGGTCTGTTGTCACGACAGCTAGTGTGGTCCAGTACGCAGAACTATATAACATCTACATAAACCGGTCCTTAGAATAGCCGGACTAATAAGTTATAGACAGAGAATAGTCAATGGATAGCCAAGGTCAAGGAAGCCAGAAATACACAATATCATTAAACAAGCCAAGTCAGGGAAACCAAAAATCAGAATATTCAGGAATAGCCAAGGTCAAAATACCAGGAATATCAAAGACAGGACAAGAAAATGCACTCCCGGGAACCAGGAATGGAAACCACGACATGGCAATGAACCAGCGAACTTTAGGGATTTAAATATCCCTCCTTTGGCTGTGATTGGTCAGAGGGTGACCTCTGATCCCAGAACGTGAGTGTGCGACAATGTCGTGACGTCACACGCACGGTCTCGCAACCCTGGGGGGTGGGGCTATATATGGCTGTGACCGCGTGGTTGCCGTCATATTGGATAAGAGCAGGCAAACAGGAGGACCTGGTGGACCGGTTCCCGACTCACTGCTGAGCAGGCAGACTCATTTCATCGGCGCGGTCGCACCGGTCAGGTGCTACCACACCTCGTGGCGAGCCGAGGGCCGCGACCGTACCCTCCACTCGAAGACAAGGAGCCGGCTTGTCAGGAAAGCGGTTGTGAAACGACCGGACAAGACAGCGAGCATGGACCCTATCAGCAGGAATCCAGCTACGTTCCTCTGGGCCGTACCGCTTCCAGTTTACCAAATAAGACAAAACACCTCTGGAAATCTTGGGATCCAATATAGAGCGAACTTCGTATTCCTCCTGTCCACCAACCACCAGAGATGGAGGAGTGACCAGTTTCGTGTACCAATTACAAGTGAGAGGCTTCAACAGGGACACACGGATCGTGTTAGCGATTCTCATGTGCGCAGGGAGGGCCAATGAATAAGTCACAGGGTTAATACGTTGAAGGACACGGTAAGGCCCTATATATCGAGGAGACAGTTTCATGGAAGGAACTTTGAGTTTGATATGAGGCGTGGAAAGCCAGACCCTGTCCCCTACTTGATAGACAGGATTGGCACCATACCGCTTGTCAGCCTGGACTTTAGTACATTTAGAGGCTGACTGCAATGCTTCATGCACCAAAGCCCAAGTGTCTTGGACAGAGGCTAAACTGGCGTGCAAAGCAGGAATATCAGTGCCCGAAAAATCAGAAGGCATTACAGTGGGGGGGATAACCATTATTTACAAAAAAGGGGATAAGATTAGAGGATTCGTGAGACGAATTGTTTCTGGCAAATTCAGCCATAGGCAAATTCAGACCAGTTCGACTGATTTGCATCAACAAAACAACGTAAATAAGACTCTAAAGCCCGATTGGCTCTCTCCGCTGCCCCATTGGTCTGAGGGTGATAAGAAGAGGAAAAAGAAAGTTCTATGCCCAACTGTTTACAGAAAGCACGCCAAAATCTAGAAAAAAAATGGGTACCTCTGTCAGAAACTATGTTTTTTGGTACCACATGTAGCCTAAAGATTTCATGCAAGCATATTTGTACAAGATCTTGAGAAGATGGCAATTCTTGAGAGGTATAAAATGCGCCATCTTGGAGAATCTATCCACAACCATAAGGATAGTGTTATACCCATTGGAATTAGGGAGATCCACAATGAAATCCATGGCTAGATGGGTCCATGGAGCGTCTGGTATTGGAAGTTGCTGTAACAACCCGGAGGAGACTTGTGAGGGACCTTGAAACTGCACATATTCAACATGCCCCCACGTAGTCCTTGACATCACCCCTGACAGCCACCAGAACTTTCTAGCAATGGCAGAGAAGGTTTTGTGTATCCCAGTATGTCCAGCTGTCAAGTTATCATGGAAAAACCCAAGTACTTCAGTTGTTAATGATGGCGAAACAAACAGTTTGTTAGGTGGTTTCTCCGCTGGTGCCGGAGTTTGATCCGCTATTATGGCACATAGGAGTGGAGAAGACACCTCCGAAACTGTCGTAGCAATGAGACACTCTGGAGGTACAATCGGGAACAGCTCTTGTTCGGGAACCTCATCTGTCTCAAACTGTCTGGACAATGCATCTGCCTTTGTGTTCTTAG